CCGATCTTTGTGTGCTTCAAGTCGCGCCCGACGATCCGCCTGGACGTGCAGGTCCACATCGGGCGCGCGCTGCGCCTCGACTGGCTGCCCCACTTCCAGCAGGTCATCTCCGCGGCCATCGAGAAGGGCATCAAGAAGAAGCTGGTCTACCCGGCACGAATGGAATGCTTCATTCCGTACCCCGGGCGCAAGCTCGACGTCGACCTGGTCGCGCCGCCGGCTCCGCAGCCCGTCATCGTCGCCCCGGGCGCGGGCGCGCCAGCGCCGACGAAGAAGAACAAAAAGATATGGGACATCTACACCTATCTCGACTCCAAGAAGAACCAGAAGAAGATCAAAGTCGTGGCGCAGTTCATCGACGAGATCCTCAACAAAGCCGACTACTCTCGTACGTAGGCACACGACGCACACATTAACGCATGACCGCACACGTACACACCACCGCACACGCACACGCACCACCGCACACGCACGCGGCTGACCGATTGGAGCGTAGGCATCAAGGCACTGTTCAGCCCGGATTGTGTGCTGTCGGGCGGTGCGGGCGGTGGCGGAGGCAAGGGCAGCTTCCAGCGCGGCGCCGGGCACGAGGGCGTCCAGGACCTCGTCTCCCTCATCCACAAGACCTACCCAGGCATCGCGTACGTACCCTAATATACTTTTATAATCTATATAATAATGATAATGTTATTGCTTTATTTACTAATTGTTGTAAATGTGTAGGTTTTATATTGAGTGTGTGCTGGTGGACGAGAAGACGGTGCTGTGTCAGTTCAAGGCGCGGAGCGCGGCCAACAGTGAGACCGTCATTCTGCAGGGCTTCTTCATCAGCCGCGTGGAGAAGAGGTACAACTCCCGCCTTCCGCCTGTGTCGATGTCGTCGGCTAAACGTTTTCTTTCTCGATCACCGCCTAGGCGCATCACGGAACAGCAGCACTACTGGTCACTGACGGCGATCGAGCGACACCACCAACGAACGGCCGCTGATCACTCCTCCTCCCCCGCCAAGCCACCACCCACCACTTCCTACTGTTAATTTATTTTTCTTTTCTCTTTTAACTTAAAACTCGTGATAAAATTATTTATTTTATTTTTATTTTCATTTTTGTTTTCTTTGTTGTGATGGAGAAGAAGCAAGACGTGGCCGAAGAGGATGGACGGGGAGAGGAGGAGGGGGAAGAGTTGCTAGCCCTGCACGAGGTGCTTCCGCTGGAGGTCATGCAGCACATCATGGGCATGGCCGACCCGGCCAGCGTGGCAAGAGCCGAGGGCGTGTGCCGCGCGTGGCGCTCCGCGTGCGAGTCGCCCTTCGTGTGGGAAGCCGTCTTCCGGCGCCACTTCAGCTCCCGCCCCTCCACCACTGCCAAAGGTACCCCACCCACCACCTCGCCTCCGTCGCCCTTTTCACTGAATTGAAAACAAGAAAACCCAAACAGAACAAAATTAAAAAAAGTAAAATAAAATAAAAGCAACAATGCTAAACAAATTGTTTTATTATTCTCTTCCTGTTCACGGGTGGACCACAGAGAAGTGGCGGGAGCGATGCGTGAAGGCGGCCATCTCGCTTCGTCGCCTGCAGGCCCTCAAGGGCGAAGACCGGCTGCGGGATACCCTCAGGTGCGTGCGGCCCATTCTCCGCCTCCACAACCCACAACCAATCGGCGTTGTGTGTCGTGTTCTGAACAGGTGGTGTGCTGCGTGCGGTCACGACCGCGTGCTGCGCGAGCTGCTCACGAAGGAGGCGGCCCACATGACGCTCGACCTGCTCAACGGCAAGCGGCCGCCCAACACCGACGAGAGCAAGTTCCAGTACTCCGACGACGGCTCCGCGCGTCCGGTGCACCTGGCCGCCTCGGTGGGCTGCGCCGAGGTGGTC